GGACCTGAGTCAGGTCTCGGTGGGGTTTGGATCCATGATTGACCTAGTCGGATGTGGGACCCTACCCGAACGGTTGCCGCCTTCTATAGCTATTCTTATCGGGCAGTGTAAGGTTTGCGCAAAGTAGGATGACATATAATATTTACAAATGTAGGATAAGATGCAAATTTTCACATGCCAACTTTTGTGGATTCACATGCATTACCATAAAAATGCAATGTGCTTCTCCCCATATTGCATCCATTTTGAAAATGGGATATAGTGGCTTTTGGCCTGCTCACAAAAATTAGCAAGATTTCCTTTACTGGTCCTATTGCTGGTGTCTACCAAATAGGTTTTTCTGCCCCACATTGGCCACTATAAGTGTGGGTCGCCTGACTAGGTGACACTGGGCAAAACTCTCAAAACTTTTCATGAAAAACTGAATGAGCATTCTTTACTCTCCAAAAATAGTCAATCTTTCTGGATAGTTAACAAGCCAGATTTTGCCCAGGCTCAATCCCTTGGACTTCAAATGCCCATGGAATCTCCCTGATCAATGGCACACCTTCCAGATTAAAATATTCAGTTTCCCACATTTTGTTTTTGGACGAAAAGATTTCAATAAGGCGTTATAAGTTGTAGGTACTTGTTCCCCCTTTGGATCTCACAAACTCAACATATTCGATGAATTCTCAATTCCTCACACCTCCACATGCATGCCATACCTTTCCTCTATCTTTCCCTCATCAAAACCCTAAGGAAGGCACACCTCTATGTTTTGGGTGAATAGAACAATTATGGAGTTGTAAGTTGTGTGGCTTCTTCTTTCTGTACTTGGATCACTCAAACAACAAGGTGGAAGGTGACTAACATTGACCTTTGCAACCCAAAACCTGCTTTTTGAATGTTCCCCTCAATATTTTTCGAGCCTTCCACATGACCTAATCCTCGCTTTCCTCAAGTTCGCTATAAAAGTTGGAGACCCACTTGTACCATTAAGCGGTGTAGTGCCCTTTATACAGAGCAGTATTGAAGTTAAGTAGATACAAAGGGAGCTTGTCTTCTTATTTAATGGGTGATTCATGGTTTAAGAGGCCTATTTCAACCATCTAACCTTTGCTCAACAACCATCATGAATCAAGGGTGGGTAATGCACCATTATCCCTAGGTGGTTCCTAGTTCCATCACTCTTCTAGCTCTAGGTCAAGTCCAATTAGATTTTTCATACGACGTCTAGATCTAGTTGGTTTCTCATAACTAATTCCCAGTGGAAAAATATATCCTATTTGGATCCAAACCCTAACCACCTAAGTTTGACTTTTCCAAATATTTTGTAACTAACAAAATCTATTAACAATCTTAGGTAATCTTGGAAGCACATGGTTTTTGGAAATTAAGTCTTTGGAGGTATGCACCTCTTAGAAGTTATAGGTCCCTCACGCGCTTATTTCTTCTAGAAGGTTGCTGCCACAGGGCCGCCATTGTTAGTGGGGTCCAAATGATCAACAAGTTACTATGTCCCACATTGTGGCCGCTTAAGCACCCACAAAAACATGGGACTAAAAAATGGCCCAAGTAATCTACTATTTCCTCCAATTTTCTTCTAAATAAAAACAAATTTTTGTTTCCAAAATTGCCCCCATTTTAGAACAAACATTTTTATTCCAAAAGTTCTTGTGTTCTAAAATAAAAAATCTAACACAAAATACAGGTAGTTGAAAAGAGAAAATCCACAATTTTTATTTCCTTGAGAAATCTATGAAAAGCCTCATTAGAAAACCTTTGAAGAGTGTGCTAGCACTAAAACTAGATCCTTATAATAGGCGCTTTGTGAGTACCCTATGATCACACCTAGACTCCAAACCAATCCAACAGAACCATGGCCCACAAGTGTTCTATTCCACGGGCTTGTGATTGGTCTGTCAAAGTTGGCCACGACGTTGAAGTACAATAGTTTGCAAGTAAACATAGATTCCATGTGCTCTCCCCGAGGATGATTTTAGGGTCAAGTGCGAAAACCAAGACTGCTTGTACAGGAGTTTCCAGGTTTTCTCCTTGTATGTGGGAGTCTCTCACAAGCACATGCATGTTAAGGATTACGCAGATGCATTAAAACTCGAAGATCACATAGAATCGAGACTCTCTAGGGTTACATAGATCAAAGATTCTCCAGAACATACAAATCCGAGGCAAGTAGCAGCACACATGCTGTGTAGGGTTCGATTGACAACGCTTCCAGACACCTGTGCTCACAAGGGCCTATACATCCTACACCACATGAGCCTTTGTCATTTCCTAGCAACAAACAACACCCACAACCCTGGCTATACCCTTGACAAGGTACCTGAGAGCCCTCTTCAGCGATGTGCATCATGGGACCAAACATAATGAGCACAATGTGTGGGTTCACTTATCTAGCCAATGTGTAGTCGCAGTGTCACACACCGAGATGAGACTTATGGAGCATGCTATGCCCCAAATAGGACTCAGTTCCCTACTTATGCGCTGTGTTAGGTACCCAAGTATGCTCTTACTCAAACTGAGAGTAATCCTTAAGTAAGGATGAGGGCAGATACATGGGGATAGCATAGCACAGATTTGATCAAAGAACAAGTCACAAACATTTGGGCATAGGACTCAGGCCTTGCTAAGCTCAGTTACTTGGGTGAGTCTAAGTGGACTGGCCGGAGTAGTGTATGGTCCCAGAAAAAGCTGAAAAATAAAAAGAAAATAAAAAAGTAACAAAAAATAGTAAAAATAAACTAAACCATGAATAACTATTAAAAGTCCAAATAAGATGGAAAAAAAATATACAAGAGTATTTTAAAAAATTGTCTTATAATCATTATTAAAAAAAATCTCTTATAACTGGAAACATTATTGAGAAATCCAAAAAATGGGGGAACGTAAAAATAGAGCATGTGACAAGAAAAAATTACAAATCATCATCAAAAACATCAAAATCATAGATAAATTATTTATACATTGATTACAAAAAAATTATATTTTTTATTTTTTTTAACCTAAGTTTTACCCAATTCCTTGGCTTGGCAAAGGGCTGACTGTCACACCTTAAGTTTTATAACAATAATAGTCTTGAGGTGTGACAGTCTATTCTCAAACTTTAGATAGAACAAATTCATAATTTCCGCTATATATTGTACCAAAACTGATTTTTTCCATTCAGAAATATTCAAATTTATACAAGGTCTATTCACAATTTATATTAACATATACAATTTCTTAGAACAAAAATTACAAAGGCGAATTTAACATAATTTCAAACTTCTTCAAGGCTACTCCTGTTGCACATTCGAGCAGTAAGGCTGCAATTACTCTAAAAAGAGTTCTTAATAGTTTGATGAGTTTGGCTATGTAAGTGATCATCATAATCCTTAAAATCACAGTTGGAAAATGTAATATTTTTCGAAAGAATTATTGAAACAATATGAGGAGGAGTATACATGGAGAACTGTTCCGAGTTCAAAAATACACATTTTAACATAATCCTAAAGATTTCACATGCATATTGAAATAATGAGGAAGGGCATATTTAAATACTTTAACAGAACTGGAAATTCTAAAAGATTTCACAAAGTACCCCACCTGCATCTTGGATGGGTCCACTTAATCCCTGCAGGTCCACTCATACCTCGCCGGCATAGCAAATGGGTCTACTTAATCCCTACCAGCATACCAGATAGGTCCACTTATACCTTACCAGCGTACTGGATGAGTCCACTTAATCCCTACTGGCGTACCGGATAGGTCCACTTATATACTTAAAGTATCTCTGAAACTCTTTAAACGTCAAGAAGCAACAATATCGTATATTCAAAATATCCTTGAAATCATTAACATGAATTCACATGAAGCATTTTATAGCAATCGCTTTCACTGAAATTTCCATAAATAATCAGTCAAACATTTTTCGCAATAATTTCAGAAAGGTAGTATTTCTGAGAGACATTCTTGAAATTTAACATGAGCAACAGTCTATCAACAATAGAAGATCTCGTTATGGAAATCTTGTGTCAAATATTAAATTTCAACTATCTATAATTCTTAATAATAGACAAAAATATTACAAATTTATTGAATGTGGAGATATAAATTGTTAAATAATCATGTTACAAGAACACGTAAAACTCATAGTGTCTAAAATTCATAGACAGATATACAAATTTTCAAATAATTGTTTTACAGGAAAATAAGATCACTTACACAAAATTTACAGTATCTAAAATTCATAATGATAGATGGAATATATTGCCATTAAATGCAAAAGATATCAGTTTATATAACTATTTTACAGGAAACTGAGATGACTTACTTTTATATGTCACAAGATGGGTATGTTGCTACTGTCGCCAGAGCAAGATTGGGATTAATGGTGTTCAGCTAAAAGTATGGGAAAAAGTGACCAAATGAATTTATATGGGGAGAAGGAGCATAAAAATATGTTCATATTAGAGAGAGAGAAATATTATATGCCTATGAGAAACAGAGGAATTGTTATGAGGGGAGGAAGATATAATTGTTTTTATAAGAACATTATTAAGAGAATAATACTGTTTTTATGGAATAATATTATTTTTATGGGAATATTAAAGTTATGGATATAATAATCATATTAAAAAATATAGTACGATAACATAACAGACAAATTAAAATTGTATGGTATAGTCCAAATTTGAATTATTAATATGTAACAGTGTGATATTGCACATCATTTTTATCTATATTGAATAAGTGACATATATATGTAATATCTGAGATATAGGTGAGATATGTGAATACTATAATATAGATCGATGGGGACTGTTAAAGTAACCAGTCCTCATTATATAAATGATATAATATCCATATGGCATTAATTATATAAATATGGTATCCAAATTTATATGAATATGGTGTGGCATTATAGACTATATACATCACTCAAATATATAGATAACAAATTATATTATATGCATACCATATAGTCCATTTATCACATCACCATGAATTTTTATATGCTACTTTTATGAAATTATTATAATTAAGAAAATAAGGATACTTATTATTATAATACTAATATTATGAGAGGGGAAGAGAGAGAGAATGAAATTCGTTGAAGAGAGAGAGAAAATATTAAATTTTATTAGAGTATTATTCTAATGAGAAGAAGAAAATAATGAGGCTATCATTATGAAGATATCATGAGACAGAGGGATAGAGAATGAAAAGCTAATATTTGAGAGGAGAGAAGACCAATTATGATGGAATTATGAGAATAATCATGGAAGAGAGAGAAAAATAAGTGTAAAACAATCTTTTAAGAGAGAGAGAAGAGAAGCTTACAATTGAGAGGAGAGAGAAGACCCATTTTTGATGAATTAATTATGGGTCAATGAGGGGTATTTGTAAGTGAGTGGGTCAATCTTCATTTGACACATGTCAAATATGTGTCCTTTTTTCTCATTTGTATATATGCCACCTCATGACACATCACCACCCTATAATGCCAACGCATGACACATCATCACTTTATAATGACACATTATCACCTCATAATGACACATCACTTTGTATTTAATTATCTTAATTTAATTAAAATAAACGTGAAAAGAAAAATTTAGCGTGGTCCCATGGTGCATTCATATTACAGTGAACTATGACTATTTAGGTGTTTTATATCATTTTTATTTATTGTTTAGGTTTTTTATAATACTATTTGTTGTTGTTGTTGTTGTTGTCGTGTTGTTTTTCAGTCCCAAAAATTTAGGGTCATTATACTAACTCAGCCTAGTCCGAGTTGACTCAGCAAGTTCTTAAACTTGAAAGTCTTGTTTTTCAGTCCCAAAAATTTAGGGTCATTATCCTAACTCAGCCTAGTCCGAGTTGACTCAGCAAGTTCTTAAACACTGAGCTTGAAAGTCTTGTTATTAAGGTAAGAGTGCTGAAGAGTTGTCTTTGGTGGGTAAATAATTTTGCATTTTATGGGACAAATTCATAGTTTCAGAAACACATTGTTAGACTGCAAAATATTAATTTTGAATCATTTACCTAGAAATCCTTGGCCTGAAATTTCTTTGAATAAATGTGAACTGCTTGTTTGTTATGCGTTAAGTTCGAACAGTTGTCATCCATTTCTTTCTAGGAGCATTAGTTTATCCATTCGGATTTCGAAGTCCTTTCTTTGCAAATTCTGTTTGATTGAATTGATACTTGTTCAAAATTTTGCAATAGGCATAGAAGCCAACACTCAGATTATCTGAGAAGTTATCTTGGTGATGGCTGCCTCTTAGTTGGCTCCATCTCCAACAATTTGAAAGCTATTCTTCTTGTATGGTCTTCGTTGTTATTTCTTAACCATGTGAATTTTTGTTCTCCAGTTTCATAAAATCCTGAGCTGGCAATGTTCTCATCCATAACTGTTCGAACATGCATAAATTTGTTTATTGGATTTAGCCGGAATTTTTCTACAGCATTTCAACTTGTAATTTTGTTTCGTTATTTCTTGTAGTTATAAAGTACCCCGTTCATCTATTTGTCTAACCAGCATCTCATTATGGTTGTAGCTAGAGTGGCTTAATGCAGATTGGGAGTTCATTCTGAAACAAACAGGCCCACATCTTACTTTGTTGGAACCCTTTATAGCCTTCAGACGGGTGTTATTTCAAATCTTAAATTGCAAACCGTGCACAATGCAGCATCTTTTGCAGTCGGCATCAACCTTCCGTAAGGTTGCCTTCTTGAACCTGGCATTTATTATTCATATTCCTAGGCTTGTGGTGCTATCTAATGTATTCCTTGCAATTCACAGGGAGCCAGATTCTCTCATGCTGCTGCTGCATTGCACGAGTTTAAATTCCTCTTTAATGAAAATGAAACATCGTATATTTGCTCTCTGGGAAGGGTATTTCTCTTCTGCCATGATGTTATATTATCTTCAATAATCAATTTCTGGAATAAGAAGAATATTTTCTTCTTTAATTACCAATTTGTTAGTATTTTCTTTTTGCTAGTGACTTAGATACAGACAGTATAGATGCATACTTGATTGGAACATTCACTCTCATGATGGTCGTTGTTTTTCACTTTGTTTGGAAATGATGTTTTACTGTCAAGTTCTGTATGTTCTTGTGCCTACTTATGTGGCTAATTCAATGGAAATATTTAAGTGAAGAAAATAACAAAATAATTTGGTTCTTGTGTCTAAATATCACATATAATCGAAGTCATCAGGTTGTTGTCCTGTTGGGAAGGCTTATTTGTTATATCTTAGTTTTTCGATTTTTAAGGGCCATAGGAAGCTTATATGTTATATCTTAGTTTTTCGATTGTTAAGGGCCATGGTAGTGTTTGCAATTTCCATACGTTTTCATGCATGTATACTATGTTCGAAAAACTGGTGGTACAGATTGGGAATTGCCGATCTTGATCAGCAATTGATCCAGACTGACCTGATTCCTTGTTGGAACTTTGAATTGGTCTTGTTCCGATAGATATACCCGATTGTATCAGGGAACTAGACAAGTCTGTCAGGGAACTAGGCAATCCAAACAAGCTGAGTCACCCAGTTCCCAGACATTATATTTTTTCTTATTTGTCCGATTTTTATTTTTGTCAATTCCTTTTATTTTTTATTTTTTATTTTTTATAGATCTATTCTCACACGGGAAACTCTGATTGATTTGCCACTTCGGATCGGCAATTCACCGAACATGACCAGATTTCCAAAAAGGTGGGGTTCACCTCGCCGATCCGTGTTTTTAAACATTAGTATATACATTCTTGGACACATACTTAGTATATTTACATGTGTCTGCACAAACGCAAACACACATGTGCATGCACGCACACACACACAGAGACATATGACACACATCCATGCATAAGTTCATCCATTTGCACAATTATTTTATGGGAAATTTATCACAATACTCACAAGAGATCAATTATTTAACATTTTACCGATTTGCAACTACTTCAAGTCATGATCATGTGTAGTTTGATGGGTATTTTGAAATGAAATCAAAAGATACAGGTAGACGGTTAAATACTTCATCTCTCATGGGTATTTGAATAAATTTCCCTTATTTTATTATTATTAATTATATCCTCAATTCCTTAAAACTATGTAACTTCTTAATATTAAATTGCGAGACCCAAGGTTCACTTAAATAAGAAATATGACACCCTAGTTGTCATTGTTTTGCATAATTTTGGTTGCCAAATTATGCATGCAAAGATCTGGGGGTGATTTATTTGCCATTTTATAATTTAAATGAAAGTTACTTCAATTCTTTTTGGAGCATGCTTCTTGTTTACTTGCTACCTTGAAGTAATCATTCGTGAATTAGAATGCAACATTTTATTTGAGTTCCTTCATTGAAAATATATTAATTTACTTCACTGCAATTAACCTTAGAGCTGCTGCATACCTGCTTTAGTATGTGTATTCCTTGAACTAGTACTTTTTGAATTAGCTTCACTGTTCTCTTTGAACTTTCTTAATGTGTTACTGGATCTAAGACGTTTTAACTGGACATTCTGTTTTGAAATAACTCATCTTATTTTATATTTTTATTTTGCAGCTTGAAGAGGCTAAACTTTTACGAGCCCAAGGTCAGCACGAGATGGCTATAAATCTGGCAAACTATATTATGAATCATTATCAGTTGGCGGAAGATGTTTCTAACATATGTCGTTTAACTGGGAAGTGGTTAGCTGAGAGCCGATCTAGCAAGTAATGTTGTTGCCTTTTCTATTTGAATGACCTCTGAGAAAATTAAAGAAAAACAAATTGAAGAGTAGAGCTGCAAGTGGACACTGGCAGGGTCGATCACACCGAATCTGTGATCCAAGGGTCCCTAGCATGGCTAGGCTTGACTAGGCCCAAATCCATCTAACCTAAGCCCAGGCCTGTATAAAACTATAGGCCGCTGTTTGAGCCTGCATTATAATGTATTACTTAAATTAAATTTTGGATTTTTTGCATAAGAAATAACTAGCGAAAAGAGATTAAATCAATCAGAAATTTAGGTATCCAACTATCATTATGTGATCTTTGCTTCCCAAAATATGGATCGACTATTACAAACTTGATTGACTGACAAAATCCCATATGGAAAACTAAAGGGCTGGATTGATCAAGCCCAACACAACCAAGGCCTGATAACGACCAATCAAGCCTCGAAACCAAGGCCTGAGCATGGCCCACTAATATTGCGAGCTCTAAATACAGGCACGGCCCTGTAGGGGACCCAGACCCAGCCTGCAATGGCCAAGCCTGCTTGGGTCATCCCATCCCAGTCCAGTTGCAGCCTACTGTAGAAGACATGTTACTTGTATTCAGTGTTCTCTAAAATTATGCATGTAATATTACATCTTTTCCTAAGGAAAATGTGAATTATCTTATCACTTACATGAGTATTCTAATCACGTATCAGCTCAAGGACCATTTTAGAACAATACCTGAAGCGTGCAGTTAAACTTACTGAGGGAAAGAAGACAGTGAAGCAGGCAATGTGTACAACAAGGCAGTGCCAAATGCATTTTCAGCTTGCGCACTACACTGATGCTTTGTTTAGGAGTTATGAAGAGAGACTTGCCTCTAGTGAATGGCAAGCAGCATTACGTTTGAGGAAACATAAGGTATTTTCGTCCAAATGCAAGCACACATATAGTGACCATACCACTCAATATTTACATTTGAACTATGAAAACCGTAATAATATTAAATAAAATAGAATAAAAAGCTTACACATATGTACTATTTTGTTCAAATGCAGGCCAAAGAGTTTGAGGCCCTCGTTAAGAGAATGAAAACTGTAACAAAGGTGAGCATGACTTACTTGAATGAAAATAAAGACTAACTATGGAGTTTTCTAATGATGAGCTGTGTCCCTGTAGGGAGAAAAGACAGACTACTCTATGAAAATACAGGAGTTGCACAAACAGCTTCAGATGGACAATGAAGAGGCCAAGAAATTGGAGGTAGATATTTTATTTTGCTCATATTCTGATTGTTAAAGTGGCATGTCAAGTTACAAAGCAGGCATGCAGTTCATCAGAATATCCTGCAGCATTTACCTATTAAATTGTTTTAGACGATGGAAATAGAGGGCGCTCAAAATGGGCTTAAATTTTGATGGTTAAGTTGTGAAGTTCCTTGATATATTATGTTCAACGGCACTGTAGATCTTATAATCTACAGTGCTGTAAGGTTTACAATCCTACTGAAGTTATATAATCTACATTTCTGTTGGGTATAATTTTTATTCTACTATGTGGTTGAGCGTTATTTGCAATGGTGTTGAAGTTTACACTTAATTGCCAACAGGTGATCAGGGTAGGTGAACCCTTAGGGGCCGTTTGGGTACCTGAAAATCTATTACAGGGAAACATATTACAAGAAAATATGAGATTTACCATATTTGGGTACACTTCAACAGTAAGAAAATGGAAATAAATTAGACAAAGTTTTCCCAAAATACGTGAAATCTATTACACACAGAATGACTGTGAAATCCATTACGCGCTTAACGGGTAATCTAACTACGTGCATCTCTTGCCAAAAAAAAATCCTTACTTTTTTTCTCTAAACTCCACTTATAAGTGTTTCCCTTCCTCTATCCTGCGAGCATCCATTTCTACTTTCTCTCTCTGAACTCCACTTATAAGTGTACTTTCTCTCTCGAAACTCCACTTATAAGTGTTTGTACATCTTGTGCACATCCATTGCTACACTCTCCTACACATATCCATTTCTACATCTTTCTATCCCCAATTTGGGCCCTCATCCGAAACTAAATCTTTTGAAAAAAAAAAAACAAGGATTTTTTGATAAATAATATTTTATAATTATATTTTATAATGATTTTTTGATAAATTATATTTGATAAATTATAATGATTACTAAATCTTTTGAAAAAAAAAAAAATTGGGATTAGGGTTTAGATCGAGGCAAAAAAGTGATAAATTATATTTTATTTAAATTATAATGATTACTCTTTTAAAAAAAAAAGAATTTTTTGGAATTAGGGTTTAAATACAGATAAAGAAGTCATAAATTACTTACAATATATTAGCTGTATTTTTTTTTTTCACATTAGCCTCCTCCAATATCTCAATCTAATTTTTAAAATACTTTACCATTTCACAATAATTTTTTTTTAAAATATATCACCATTTACTATTTAAACTACAAATTAATGATATTTAAAGGTTGTGACTAAAATAGTTCACTCAATGTTTATGACCAATATTAATTCACACTAATAAGTTGTTATTCTTTGAGCCATGACAAGCATGGTATAATCATGCTATCTATATATATGCATTTCGATATTAAATAGGAATGTCTACAAATAGACCATTTATCTTTTGTGAATAGAGGTCACAATCATTCTCAAATATTAGATGTCAAATTGGATGGCTTGAGGTGAGTCATGAAGTGAATTTTTTTTTGAAATTTTATATTTATTCAATGACATTAGTACAACCACCTATTTTGAATTTTAAAGGACAAAAATGATTGTGCGTACAAAAGATAAATGGTCTCTTTGTAGACAATTACATATTAAATCGCTATGTCTAGTAAGAGCAATGTATGAGCAAATTTAAGGTGCAATGTAGACAATTCCATATTAAACAGTTTTAAGTAATAGCAATGCATTTTCCAGGTTGCATCTAAATACTACCCAAACAGTAACAATCCATTTGCATGTAATGTATTACGCAGTAATGTATTACGCCAGTGATATATTTCACAGACAATATATTTCTAGGTATCCAAACAACCCCTTAAAAAGTACAAATAAAAACACCATTAAAGATGGTGAAAATTGTCTTAATTGAAATTTGTGGATAATTGCACCAATGTTGCTGTATTAGTTGTTTGTTAAATGCCATATTGAACATGTACATCCATGGTCTAAAAGACTCAACCTACACAAGCATGCCCACAGGCAGCAGTGAACAAGTCAATGTTTAATACTAAGACTCTCATCCTTAACTTCCCCCTAATGTCAAATTGTGGGAAGGAATGGTTCAATTGAAATTTTATTTCTTGATATATAATCATCTTCATCATCATTAGAGCCTTTTGCCAACTATTTGGGGTCGGCTACACGAATCATATTGATAAAAGAAGAAAAGGTGGGTAATTGAGTCCATTTTCCTTAAATAAATAAGATCAACAATAATAGAGAAAGAACATGGCTGTAAGTCAAGCCAAGAGAAGAACTTTCTTCTTTCATAAAATTAAATTTATTCCAATAACATATGTCTCTCAAAATATGATATTCAACCTTTTATAAGCTTATGAAACCCTAATTTAACTTGAGATCCAAATAAATATTAATACTCTAAAATACCCCTAAAACAATACCAAAATTTTAAAAATACCCCTGTGGACAGTAATGTGTGAACAGTAACGTGTGAATAGTAGCATGTGAACAGATTTGTGAACAGTAACTATGAATAGTATCATGAATAATACTTGTGAATAGTAAATAAAAAAATAAAAACCCTAGAAATAAACCCTAAAACTAAAACTGTAATATACATCGTTGAAATTGAATAAAAATACAAAATAAGAAGAAATTTGCCTTCCATCATTCTCCCCTTGTTGGAGAAAACTCGTCCTCGAGTTTTGAAGTGTGTTAAGATGCACTCAACATCAAAACCACCTTTTTTTACCTCCTTTTTCTTTGTCGCCTCAAATAATATTCGAGGTAAAACAAATTCCTCAAGAAATGGCTCCCGATATGGGTAATGACGAATACATGCAAATTTATCAAATTTGATTATTTGTAAACTCCCATTGGAAATCATGTAAGATACTCCAAACTCAATTTTCTAGCGTTTGAAGGTTTTCTCAATATCTAGTTGATCACTTTCTGAAATCAAGGCCACAATTTGCAAAGTCTGAGTCGACCACACTTTCATTGCGCTACTCTGATTCTGGTGCCCTAAATCTCTTAAATGTTCCAAATCTTCATCTTTTTCTTCGTCAAAAATCGATTCACCTACGAAATCTAGATCACCATTAGAGATTAGATCTCTTCTACAATCTTGTTCATCATCTAAGTATGTATCTAAAATTGGTGGCAGATCCCAATCTACAACCTGCTATTTTTTATACGACCTACACCAAGATCAACCTCCTTCAAATCATGTAGATCAACTAAATCCTATGACTTATTCTCCCCGAACATAAGGCTCCCAACGCAGAGTGCATGCATAGAACAGGTGGTTGAAGGTAGCTTCATCATTCCGCTCCAACTCTGAGTTAGACTTTTGATTCATGCCATTCTCCATAAAAACCCTGATAATTTGGATCTATCCCTGTAGATTCCTCTTCGTTTAGGGCACGTTGTTGCTGGCACCACTTGTGCAGCAATAGCTCTGTAACCTTCTCTGTCAAGTTGTTGATTTTCTTGCGCAATTGGATAAGATCGGATACCTACGGCTATGACCTCCACGACAAGTCATCGTAACTTCCAGTCGTCCTCGAACCATGCTCTGGATGCAGGAAGAAAAGGTGGGTAATTGAGTCCACCCTTTTCTTGAACCTTAAACAAGTAAGATCAGCAATAATAGAGAAAAAATATGGTTGTAAATCAAGCCAAGAGAAGAACTTTCTTATTTCATCAAATTAAATTTATTTCAATAATATATGCCTCTCAAAATATGATATCCAATCTTTTATAACCCTATGAAACCCTTATTTAACTTGAGATCCTAGTAGACATTTAATATTCTAAAATACCCCTAAAACAATACCAAATTTCCAAAATTACCCACGTGGACAGTAACGCGTGAATGGTAACACGTGAACAGTTTGTAAACAGTACTATGTAAAGTACTTGTCAATAGTAAATAAAAAAATAAAAACCCCTAGAAATCTTAAAAACCTTAGAAATAAACCCTAAAACTAAAATTGTAATATACATCGTTGAAATTGAGTAAAAATACAAAATAAAAAGACTTTTGCCCTGCATCACATATGTAATGGATTGAATTTTCCTTCTAGCATTTGGAATTTGCTGGGCATATGTTCACATGTTGTTTTGTCTGCATTTCTTTTTGGTGTGGGCATATTAAAATATTGGGCATTCTGCAAGTATTACTCCTTCGTATATCACAATGCATTTTAGCTGATTAAATGCTGTTTAGTATAATATTTTGTTGATTTGTTGGTCTTTCTATCTTTTAGGATGATAAAAACAATTTCCTCAATCTAGCATTGGAGGGATATCAGCGTTGTTTGGTCATTGGAGATAAGTATGATTTAAGAGTGGTACGTAGTCCCTTCATTCAAAGAAAATGAATGTATTGGTGCCCTTCAGAGTTTGCAAGTATTAGTAGATTGTTGAACACAAAAGCTATTGTTTACTATAGTTATGGAAATAAACAGGTATTCATTTGTGAACTTCTTCTTCCCAAGACTTATAACATGTGCCCATTTGCAAATAATGTTCTATTTCTAAGTTTCGAGCCACCACCTTAGTGTTGAAATGAGGAAGCAATCCACTTGTATCTCATAAGCTTATGTTAAAACACATAGGCTAGAGATGTCAACAAAAATAAAGGATGTTGTGTATGCTGAGATGAAAGGAACATATTCCTTGAGTTGTAGATCTATGAAACAGAGTATATTCTCTTCACCAAAAAAAAAAAGAGAGTAAGAAGAAGAGGAAAGAGTATAACTGTGATATTGTTGGAGTGTGATGTTTATTCCTATTATTTCTGTTGACCTTCCAATAGGTCACATTAAAGGAAGTTAGGGCTTGTTTGTGTTCTTCCTTATGTCACGCCTTATATCTGCTATATTTGGAATTGTTCCTGATGATTTTCCTGGTTGCTAGTTTTCTTCATTGATTTCTTACCTGTTGTTAGTGGTATCAATCACACATACATTTATGATTTGCAAGTTAGATCAACTCCACTTGCTAGATTCTATTCTTATTTTTGCAGATATTTCAGTAGCCCTTACAAAGTTGTTCTAAGTCGTCATTAAATTTTATTCCAAACTGTAAGGATTTTTCCTGGCACATATGGCGTCTCCTATTCATTTTAACTATTTATCATTGTAGCTCCACATCTATGGCAAGGCACATGTTAGACATTTAGCTCTACATGTTAACTTTTTATCATTGTAGCTCCACATCTCTGCTTCCCTTTTTCTTTTCTTTTTCTGTTGTAAGTTCTTTTTATTTTTGAGGTTTGCACTTCCTGCCCAATGTAGTTCTATTAGCTGTCCATTTAGTGCCCCCTTTATTGCTCTAGAACCTTATTTTCTTCTTTGCTTCATGGATTATAGTTATCTATCCATTGCATTTAATGTGGCTGTTCCAATTCTCATGGACTCCTCGAACCATAATTCGTGGGTGTATGCTGTTTATTATACTCTTGACTTCCAAATTCGTGTTGGTCTTTTCCAAAATAGTCCGCTCAACTTGGCTTAGGCAAATGCAAGTTGTTTCAAGAGAAAAGATGGACATGTGAAATATTGCCATTAACTTATGCTTCCATTGATATTCATGTGCATGCCACTATTATGTCCATATCACTTGGATTGCACATTGGACTTGGCTTAAGCAAATTTGGTGTATGGATTGCATAACTTATATGGTATCTTTTATATTTATGTATTTTTTACAATACATCTTTTCAAATGAAGCTTATTATGCGCAATTGGCATGGCATACTTCATAGGAAGGGGTGATCATTCCTTGCTTCCCCATACCTTGAATGTGTTGCTTCATCCACCGGTGCATTGTTTTATTGTTCAATCATGCTTGTGATGTTTACTCACTATGCATTACTCCCTTCATGCAGGTCTTTAGACTTGTCTCTTTGTGGTTCAATTTCGCAATTGACCAAGATGGTCGAACCAACCAAAACGTTGTAAACCAAATGCTGAAGGCAGTAAATGAGGTACGCAATGAGAGGGTTAATGCATCTTATCTTCTATCAAATTTATTGACATGGGGGTTCTTTGAAACCAACTATAGATAGCCATTGAGGCTCCTTGGCTAACAGATTTTTCAATTAATTATATAGTGAAATTTTTTTTATGGTTAGCCCCTGATATCACCATGAATTTCCTTGTGAATCTTTCAGATCCAATCATATAAGTTTATTCCATTAGTGTACCAAATCGCCTCAAGAATGGGGAGTTCAAAAGACAGCCAGGAATCAATGAGTTTTCAGGTTTGAATTTCACAAATGGTTTACAGATGCACTTGGAGATAATACTTCTCAAAAGGTGCTTCTTATTTCCATTTTATTGGTCATGTGATGCTCTCTGAACCGGATTAACTCTTTGGTTGGGCAGTTTGCTTTGATCTCTCTTGTGAAGAAAATAGCCAAAGAACATCCGTACCATACTATGTTTCAGGTAATCAAGAACTTCTTTTCAAATATTGCCTATTATTTTCCACAAGTAATATATTGAGTTTTATTCCTTCCCCCTGATTATTAGTTTTGTCACACTATAATGTAGATTACATGTATAAGGAGCATTATTGTCATTATTTTATTACGCTATAAAGAATGTAATGTCTTTAATTGTTAAGCGAAATTATGTAATTGTACATACCCTGACATCGAATCCTTGAAATATTTAGTGTTATAATGAAGATGTCTCCCAAAATAGATGGGTTTTCACAGCCAACAGTTAAAGGGGCACGTAGATGGGTCTTTTATACCTCCTCCTAAACTCGTTAAAAAAAAGAGGTTGACGATGATGGTAAGAGAGTGAACATGGTTTCCAAAAATGCTGTTTTTGAAGAATGGGTTGTTAACCACCAACAAATCAATGTTATTCTCTCAAAATAATTTCTAGCACAACTTATTGGAATGCTGACTGATGTAGAATTATGAAAGGCTCTACATGAATCCTTTTTGCAAGAGTCCCAAGGCACGTGTGTTGCATTTGAGTGATGCAGGGAAATTTGAAAGAATAGTAAAATCAGCAAGGAAGAAACCAAACACAAGCACAAGTCGAAGAAACTTAGGGTTTCTTATTCAGACCCCAAGCTAGGGTTCCAAAAGCCTAAATTTTCTCTTTCAATTTCTTAAAATCATATGGAATTGACCCTCTCAAGCCCCACACACCTTTTATATATTATAATTCAATGTTCAAAGACATTACATGTCCATACAATGATTAAAATGACCTATTTTGTTTTTGTAATGACAGTTTTACCCATATGAACAGTACCAGTGAACACTACTCATGAATAGTACTTATGGAATAAATAAATAAATAAAACCCTACAATCCCTAAAAAACTAAAAAATCCTAGAAATAAACTCTAAAACTAAAACTATAATATACATCCTTAAAAGTCGAATAAAAAAAAAAAATAGTTTGCCCTCCATTGTTGAGACTTGCACTTCAGCAATGCAAGAAGAAAAAATGACTGACACAATATTTTGACAAAATCATGGGCCTTTGCAAACAGCTTGCCACCATTCAAGAACTAGTGTGAGTGACAAAGATAGCATACAATGTCCTCCCTAGTTTGAGAGAAGACACAGGATGTTTGTTACTTCAGTTACCCACTCCATTCACAACCTTATGATTGCATCCCTTGCTAATTAGCGCAAAGCCCTCTTCTACAACAAACTTGTGTGCTAATGTTGTCAAAAACCATGATCCTTATGATGTGTTAGTCACAACTTGAAACTCTCCATTTTGTGATGGAGGAAGAGGAGGCGGAGGTCATTCATTCCTGTCTAATAAAGGACATGGTCTTCTCCGTACACCTAGTGTTTTCCAACATAATAACAATTTTTGAAATAATAGCACGAGTTTTCAGATTTGCTGATGCCAAAACTATATTGCCATGAACTTCTACAATCACTGTACTCGTGGGTGGGAAAATGCGAACAATGGAAACAAATTTTTGGCCCTTAATACTTTAGTGGAGACCATAGTTACCATAATCTGTCACCCAAGGTCGTGATTCCGATTCGGGATCCCGATTCCGTGATTTTGATAAATGAATTTTCATAGAATCCGTTTTCATGAAGTTAGGATTCTCGAATTTTACACTTATAGAATCTCGTTTTCAATAGTTATTGATTCTCGATTATGCAATCGTTGAATCTCGATTCTACATTGTTGAATCTGGATTCCACACTTGATTCGTTTGTTTTCAAGTCCAGATTCATTAACATCAAGTATCGCAGTTTGTAGATGCAAGAAACAACAAATTAATCAAATATCGAATCTTGCTTCCACCCTCATGGAATCTCGATCTGATTATTTTTGCAATCACAATACCATAATATCAAATACTAATATTTTAGTTGCACAAATCTATGACTTATGGCTGGTTCAAATAATAATGGATTTCTATTTATGTTATTTGGAAACAAGACTGGAGACAAATGTCTTCCATAGTTCATATTCAAAATCTCTATCACTCTATCCATGTGTGTGCTTCATGTTTAGACCTGCAATTTTTCACTTCACGCTATGGTACAATGGGAATGTCAGCAAATAAATAAAAAAATAACAATTCAAAGAACATGGTGTCCAAGATCATGAAGGCTTGCTATTATATAAAGGTAAACAGAATAGAAATTTAGGTTCTATTCTAATAGTGTTAGGACTGGCTCGGATCATGTTTCTATTAGTGCTAGGATTGGCTGTCTTTTCTAAAAATATAATTGGTAAAGAGTTTTATGTTCAAATAAGACTACAACAATGGCAATGCCATGGCACAGACAAAATCCTATTTGAACTATAATAATGAAATAAAAATCACATTTTAAAAATACGAGGTAATATTTGTATCTTTTGTAGACAATTTCCCTAGTGGACTATGAGTATCTATTAATTGACCTTATTTCTAATGCCGTGTTTGAGGCTCAATAGTCAATACATTAACCTCATATCTACAATACCCTTCTTCGATTCTTAGAGGCCTCTGATCTCGATTGCTTGATGAGGTTCTAAGTTGTCAAGGCTTGATATGTCATTGATGTAAGAATCTTGATTCTACATGTGTTGAATCTTGATCCCCATAGAACTACAAATCTCGATTGTTAGGTGGGTCGAAACTCGATTCCAAACTGATATTGAATCTCAATTCCATTATGGTATGAATCTTGATTCCAAATGCGTCAGAAACTTTATTCCAAAGATGTCGGAATCGCAATTCCATATGGGCCAATTCCAAATAGGTTAGAAACTCAATTCCAAAGGGGTTGGAATCTCAGTTCCATATATGTAGGGATCTTGATTCCATTTAAGTCAAATGTTGATTCCTATAAATTAGGAATCTTGTTTTCTGCGCTTCCTCTTGTACAGATGTCGATTATGAAAACATGAATATTCTAGCCAGCCACGATTCTAACTCCTAAAATGATTCGGAATTTCTGGCGTTTCCAAATGATCAAACGAGCGGGCCAACTATGCCACCTGTAATTGCTGGATTCTTATCTCTTATCTCATATTCTAATAGTGCTTTCGTATAACTAGAGTTGGGATCTTACTTCCTATCACTCTTGTAGGAAATGTCCTTATAAGTTCCTTCGTAGGTCTGTATTACTAAATAATGCATTTTTGGTTCTCATGACCAAGCATAGCCTTATCTTTCTCTCATTGACTCAAGAAAATAAAACAAATGATTTCATATTTTACACATCTTATGTTTTCTTAAAGACACATTGTTGAAGACCATGTCCACTAGAGGGGATTGGGCAGGACGTCTGTATGTTTTAGATGATCAATTGAGGTAGCTTCCAGTACAAGTGTCTTCATTCCAAGTAAATGGTGATGTCAATGTTTGGCTTCTTTGTCTCGGGAATTGTATCCATGAGTCAGTTAATAAATTATGTAAAGATTATTTGATTCCCTCATTATCGAAGAGTTGAGCTTCATTCATTTGTTATGGTTGTCAATTAGGTAAATTGTCCCAACTTTCGTTCTGATGTAGGGAAATTTGACAGAACAATAAAATCAGCAAGATATAATACTAAACACAAGTATAAATAAAGAAACCTAGGCTTTCTTCTCCATACCCCAATCTAGGATTCCAAATGCCTAAGTTTTTCTCTCTTTTAATTTTTAAAAATGTGGAATTGACCCCGTACAAAAAGTGCCCAAACAAATAATACATTGACCCATATATCTTAATTTAAACTTAAAATTCATAATGACAGTCTTACCCCCTTTGAATAGTACCTGTGAACAGTACTCGTGAATTTACTTGTGAATAGTACTCATAAAATAAATAAATAAAATATAAAAATCCTAGAATTCCTAAAAAACTAAAAACCACTACAAATAAACCCTAGAACTAAAATTATAATATATATATCTTTTGAAATTAAATAAAAAAAGGATAATTGGCCCTCCGACATTCTCCCTTGGTTGGAGAAAACTCATCCTCGAGTTTTGAAGTATGTTAAGATGAACCCAACATCAAAACCACCTTCTTCAACCTTCTTTTTCTTTGTTGGCTCAAATATTATTTAAAAAGAATTCCTCAAGAAATGGATCCTGATATGCAAATTGAGGAATCAATGCAAATTTATCAAATATGGATATCCTTGAACTTCAATTGAAAATTGTGTAATAAACATCAAACCCAATTTTTTGGTCTTTAGAGTTTTTCTCAATATCCATTTCATTACTTTCTTAATTCAGGGCCATAATTTGCGGTTTATGAGTTGACCATATTGCATCTGCACTACTTTGATTCCAATACCCTAAATCTCTTGTATGTTCCACCTCCTCGATATCAATGAGATCTTCAATGGCCATGATTGGGATCAGTCCGCTTGTTGCCTTCTCTCCATATTCTTCACCCTCTTCTAAAATATCTTCACCATCATCTCCTTATCATAGATCGGATCTCCTTAGAAATCTTCTTGTTTCATCTAAGTATATATTGAAGATTGGTGGTGAGTTCCAATCAACAACTTGCTGATTTCGATGCAATCTACGTCAAAATCAATGATCTCATCCTTCAAATCGAAAACCCTAAAGTGATGTTCCCCACATCTAGGTTATCTATCACTATCCTCAACGCTCAACTCCCCACACAGAGCACAAAAGTAAAGAGGCTTGTACTTGAGATCCTCCTGAGCTGAAAGATCTGACCATTATTACTTAATGTTGGAATTTGATCTAATAGATTGATTTTGTTGTATCCAGAATAATGCCAATCCAATCCATGTCATGAATAAGTGTCACCGGTACGACGGCATCTTGACACCACCTAGAAGGGTAAAAAATGAGGATTCAAAATTAAAAAGTGGACCTATTTCCAATGGATCACACCTATCAAGAAAAAGTATTTTGTTTATGATATGAGATAAAAGAGTTGCTTAACACTTCTTTACAAGTTTAACAGATTCCTTTTGGACAAGCAATTATGAAGGGCCTGATTCTTTGTAGAACAATGAAAGATTTAATTGGATTCTCCATTTTTCATAGGATATTTTAGATGAAACGTTTGGGCAGCTACAGTACTCTTTGGGGATAGAAATAGATCACACTTGAACTCCAATTGTCTCAGCATAAATATGCAGTTGATTTACTTGAGTGCACTAATGTGTTCCATTGCAAGCCATCAACCATGCCAGTTGCCCTCAACAAAAGATTGAGAGTAAATGAAGGAAAATTACTTGAAGAACCAGAAAAGTACCGAAGCATGGCAGGAGCACTTCAATACCTCTCGCCACTCATCCCGATGTAGCCTCTCTAGTAAATGAATTGTGTCAATTTATGTGTGAGCACATTGATGTCTACATGGAGGCATAGTAATGCATAATTCCATATGTGAAAGGGACCATCACATTATATAACTGAAAAATCACAGAGATGATTTATGTATCACTTCCCTTATTCGCTACTCCAGCATAGATGATTTATGTATCACTTCCCTTATTTGCTACTCGAGTGCTGATTGGGCAGGAAATCCTGATTCACGTAGGTCAGTCTCAAGATATTGTGCTTATTTCGAAAGAAATTGGATATCTTGGAGGAGCAAGAAGCAAAAATCTGTAGCAAGATCAAATATAACTGAGTATAGAACATTGGCCATGAAATTGGATATCTTGGAGGAGCAAGAAGCAAAAATCTGTAGCAAGATCAAGTATGGAGACAGAGTATAAAACATTGGCCAGCATTGTGGCAGAGATTTTATGGATATGAAATACGATCGTATCTCTTGGCTATATAGTATGCCTGTCCACCATCTATTACGATAATCGGAGTGCTCTCGCTATTCCAGCTAAAACTATTTTTCAGTATTGTAGTAAGCTTATAGATATTGATTACCACTTTGTACTCAAGAAAATAGAAGTAGAGGAGATTTGAATGGATTATATTGGCACCGAAAAAAACCAGATTGTGTATGTTTACACCAATGGGCTCAACAGTGAATGGTATAACTTTCCAAAAGACAAACTGTTCATGTTCAAGCGTGATGAACAATTTGAGAAGGGGGTTTAAACTATGTATCAGAATGTGTGTTGTATGTATAAGAGGCAATTGTCATTTGTATTGTTATTCTGTGAAATGTTATAATACCTTTGGGTGATAAGGGCATTTACATAATTGTACATACACTGACATCCAACCCATGTAATACTTGATATTATAATAAAGATACTGTTACCCTTCTTTTCTTGTTTCTTGTTTCTTGTTATCTTGATTAATATTCTTTCATGTTTTCAATTAGCGGCATCTTTATCTACTTTATGTAAGTCTTACTGTCATGATAAAATTTTAGCTTATATATATATATTGGAAACTGTTAAGATTTTTGAACTTTTAGCTTATGTTGTATCTTATCTCACTTCTGCCATCATCTTCTTGATGGCATGTACGTGGGTGATTATCATGAAGAACTTTCTAATCTCTGTATCCTGGATATTCCTTGTGCTTCTAGCTTCTAGCTTTAGCAAATGGGGACCGCGTCAAGGACAAGCTGCGCAGCAGAAACTCATTTGTGGTTGACTTAGACAAGAAGAATGCAGCAGAGAATCTCTTAAAGGAGTTGTCTTCTTGCCATGGTGCTCTTATTCTGCAGGTTATAAACTATGTGCATTTTCAATACTTTTTTTTTTTATTAGTTAACTGCTTTCTTTTTATCAATATAGATGAGACTTTTCATTTGCATGTTGTGTTTGAATTACTGTGGATCATATTTATGATATTGGCAATTTCAGGTACTGACTTTTGTTGGTTTTGTTATAGATGAGACAAATGGTTGAGATATATATTAAGCTCGCTGAATTGGAAACAGATAAGAAGGTCAGGTTTTATTATGCCAAATTAAACATTCACAGACTATACATTTTCCATATTCATGAGATCCTCCATGGATTCTTTTGCTATAATCAACTATGTAACTTGTAGCATTATGATATGACTGATTCGTCTGTGAAATCATATATTGCAACAGGATACTAATAAAAGGATGGCATTACCAAGGGATGTTCGTAGTCTTCGGCAACTTGAACTTGTAAGTTTCATATGTTTTATTAGATCCTTCTTGTTGTACTCTGAAAAGAACTGAAAAGAGGTTATGCACCCAGCAGCAGTTTAGATTGCTGGAAATATGGCTTCATTATGTGCAATTTATGACTAAATCCAACTTCACATCTTCAGTGATAGACAAGTCTAAATGATTTATTTGCACTATTTATATATCATGTCTATTTCAGCCCAGGCCCCAATGATATGTCAAAGAGCTATATTCCTCAACACACAGCCACTAAAATTGCAGACGAACAGTGTAGCAGTTATTACTGAGAAAAGATCACTTATTTTTATTTGCCTACATAATAAGGCGAAATCTTATCTTTTATTCTTCTATCTCCTTTTACATGTTTAGCTGTGATATATTTTATTTTATCGCTCATTCTGGTTCCCATTTTGCTAAATGAGTTTCTTGAACTTTATGGCTTCTGAATGGATATGTGAAATTCGATTCTCCTATGTTGATATTAATTAAGCAGCAATTCATTCAAGTGCACTTGTGCCAATATTGCAGGTCCCTGTTATAACAGCTAATGTACCTGTTGACCGTAACTGCCAATACCAAGAGGGATCATTTCCCTACTTTAAAGGCCTATCGGATTCTATCATGTATATGGCTGTCCAGAGTTTGTTTATGTGTTCAACCCCTTAAATAATTAGTGAAGCCTTACAACTCTCACGATATGTGAATTTGTGATTATACAGCGTGATGTATGGGATAAATGCCCCAAAAGTTGTAGAATGCTTTGGCTCTGATGGTAGGAAATATCGTCAACTTGCAAAATCTGGAAATGATGATCTTCGACAAGATGCTGTAAGATTCCCTCCCTCTTTGTATCAGTTTTTTTGTTCTTTTGATGGTTAGCATCAAATTGAGGAAAATTAGAACCTAATTGAACCTGGTTCAAACCCAAAACCATTGAATATTTGTATGATTTGGTATAAAAATCCTGGCCATAATTATCTCTCATGTTGCTGAAGGGAGTGCTTGGCATATGACTGTCAGTTTGTGCATATAAATCTTCAAATGAGCTTTAAATTTTCAAACTGTAAAAATATCTTTTCTACCATTAATTTCTGGATGTGGAAGTACCCCAACCTCGTCATTACAGAAAGCATGCTTCTCATTTTGTTCTTTTTACAAATGTGCTTCCCTGTTTTGGGGAACCGAAAAAAGGTAATGGTTGCACAAATTGCACGAACTTCATAACCATCTCGATCCATATTACTCTTTTTTTTGCATGCGAGGTAAGAAAATTTCAGAGGCATAAACCTAAAAATTGTTAACATTTTAACAAACGGAAGGAAGCAAAACACTAGTTTAGATGCATTTATGTACAAAATTTTGTTTATGTAGGATATTTTAACTCTTTGACATGTATGATCTGCCATTCATGCAAATGGAACATAGTAAATACAAATCGTCAGTTATACATGACTGTAGAAAACAAATACATATTTTTACTTGAAAAGATAATAATGTTCCAAACTCCATTAAATTGTAATTTCAAGACAAATTATCGGAATGTCATTGATACATGCTAGGGAATTGATGACACAGTACCACATGGCATAAATGTTACCCATAAATCATCAAAGCAAGGGAAAATAGTAATTACCCAAGCCTTTGAAGAAATGTGACCGAAATGGTTTCATTTTTTTATTGAAAACCCCATCACATCGCAGGTTTAATTTGAATTTGATTTACTAGTATTCGCTTTTGTCATTGCTTTATGAGAGAATGATTCTCCCAATGCCAATGGAAACAGGTTCCCAAGAGGTCTTTTCCAACATCTTTTGCTGCAAAACCCCTTTTTGGACGAAGTAACCCAAACAATTGTCCAAGAAGTTATTTTGTATATCATCCTTGGTTCAAGTAGTGGGTCACAATTTTTCAGTCTCTTGGCAAATGAAAGCTAGTAGCTGCAATGATGCAATCCTGCTGATGTCATATTTGTTGAGTTTTGTGGCCTCTAAAGGCCTAGAGAGCTTGTAAATATGATATTTTATAATAAAATGTGCACTTCAGTGGGAGTGTGTTTGTTGACTGACCAAGGGTTCGGCGAGTTTATGGCCCTGGTCATATTCAAAACCCTTACGCCTGAGCATGTGGCACTACCGAGAAGGGTTTGCAATGGGACCATCCCTTGTTGTGGTTAGAGAGATGCCTAGGGATAATATTTGTAGGCCAGGATTATGGTCCCACTGTTTATTGTCCAACTTTGACAAGGCAATCATGGCCCCTTGAAATGAGACTGTGGGTCATAGGCCTTTGTTGGGTTAGACAAGTAAACAGCAGTGGATCATAGTTCTTAAGGCGAGTGGTGTGACCTTATTGTTGCTTATTTGGAAGAAAGGAGATTGTCTCGAGATACTTCAGCCTTGAATGACTCTGTAAATCTGGTAAACCCTAAACCTAATTCTTGTTCATTCAAGAAGAAGGGCAAAGGCAAGAATAAGAACAAAACCAATGAGAATCAAAAGGGGAATAATGGGCTTAAGAAGAAGAAGGATTTTAAGAGTACCTAGTGCTATAACTGCAAGAAATTTGGGCACATTGCAAAGAATTGTAAAACACCCATGAATACGAATCCCAAGGGCGATAGGGAGCTTGCTTGTGTGGTCCTTGAGGCCATGCTAACTGACCTTAAACTGGGGTCATGGTGCTTTGACTCTAGGTCCACTGCCCATGTGTCAAACACAAAGGATGGGTATAGATATTTGAACCGTTTTGCCTCGGGGGATCAATATATATGGGTGGGAATCAAAAGACCGAAATATTAAGTATTGGAGATTTTGTCCTTCGACTTGAGAATGACAAAAGCATGGTCCTAAAGTAAACACTTTATGCTCCAGAGATGAGGAAGAGTTTGGTTTCGGTCGCTAAATTAGCTAAGGTAAGCTACTCCACCATTTTTACTTGTAATAAGGTGCAAGTGAAATATGGAAATGAATTAGATTTGAATGGTCATCTTGTAGATGGTTTCTTTTCAATTGCAATAAAGAATTCCGTTCCTTATACCTCGTGTTACAATGATAACAATGATGATGCATATATATGGCACATGAGACTAAGGCTCATAAATCCTAAAAGGATGGAGAGATTAAAGAGAGAGGGATTATTAAATAATTTAAATGGAGACTTAGGCAGAGTCTGTGAATTATGTGTTCAAGGAAAGCTAGTTAAGAAATCCTTTGCGAAAGATCTAGAGCTACTAGTATATTAGAAGATGTCCACAGTGATATGTGTGGACCTATGAATGTGGCCACTAAGGGCTGCAAAAAGTACAATCATTTTCATTGATGATCACTTTCGTTTAGGCCATGTCTATCTGTTAAGTGAAAATTCTGAAGCATTAGACCGGTTCAAACAGTATAAAGCTAAGGTAGAAACCCAAATAAACTAGAAAATTAAAGTCCTTAGATCTGATAGGGGTGGAGAATATTCTTCATGACTATTTACAGAATTATGTACTGAGCATGGTATTATACATCAGTATACTATGTCATACACTCCTCAGCAAAATAGGGTAGCTGAAAGACGGAATAGGACCCTGATGGCAATGGTGAGGAGCATGATGGGACAAGCTAAACTCTCCCTAAAGTTTTGGGGAGAAGCTGTTTTGACAACCAACTATATCCTTGTTAAGGTCAAATAGAAACTCATAGATAATTTTTGTAGGTCAGGAGAACTATGTGTCTCCTGTGTGAGGTTTGTAGGCCTGTAAAAGCAAGGGTCAAAGCCTCAACTAACTTTCACATGACATGTATACATGAAAGTTGCATTAGTGGGAAGTAGCCCTACAGAGGGACACATGTATATGTGCATAGAGAGAGCTCCCTTTGCACTGTAGTGACAACTACAAGACTTGCTATTAAATGGGGGAACTGAAATCCACATTTCAAAATCATGGTTCTGCTGTTTATTGTCCAACTTTGACAAGCCAATCATGAGCCCCTAAAATTAGACTATGGAATTAGGGTCTTTGTTGGGTTGGATAAGAAAACAATAGTGGATTGTAGTTCTTAGGGTGAGTGGAGTGTCCGTATTGTTGCTAATTTTGACCCATTGGTACCAGTCCACTCCTAATATTTTTCATTTTTGTATTAGAAATGTTTTTATAATTTTTAAATATTTTTTCAGAATTTTAATATATTATTTCTACTGTAATATTCATCTAAAGGGTATTTTTAAAATTTTCAGAATTTAATATAACACATATGGGACCAAGGATCCAACCCCACATGTGTGTGTGTGTTTTGTTTTAAGAGTGGCGACCACGTGGCAACCCTAAGAGAGCCATGCCAATTTTTTAGCACAAAAGGGGCGCACCACTATTTTAGGAAAAGAAGTGGTGTGCCACTTTTTTAGGAAAAAAAGGGCACGCCCCATATTTTCTTATATTTGGTTCAAACTTTTAAACTAATTTAAAAGTTAGGAAATCTTTTTCAAATAAGATTTGGTTTCCTATCCTATGGGAGTTTTAAAATATAGATTATCCTTGATTATGGGAGATCTAGATTGTGATAACTTTTGGTTATAATTTAAATTTAAATAGGAGTTTGATTTGGGTCAAAATCTAAGAAGATAAGGTTCTTATTTTCCACAAAAAATCATGATGGCTGATTAGCGGGATGGATGGCTCTGAATAAATCTCTCACACCATATATTTCCTAATTATCTTAAAGGTCAAGGTGGAAATTGGATAAGGCATACTTAGATTGGAATCCTATTCAAAATAAAAAATAGATTTTGTTTCTATTTAAATAAGATTTGAACCCTCTCTCTTTACACAACAAGATCTCTCTCTCTTTCTCACTCCCCAAGTGCTCTCTCTCCCTCATGCTATATTTTTTTTCTCTTTTTCAAAATTTAACACAAAGTGACCCCCTCTTCTTGCCTAAGAGAGAATCATGCCACCCTCTCTCTTCTTTTATTCAAGTGACTTCTATCAAAGAAAATAAAAAAGAGAAAGGTGGGACTTTCAAACCCTAAGTGAAGTTTGCTGATTTTTTAAGAAGAAGAGAGGTGCTGCTAGCCAAGAGAAAAATAAACCCTCAAGTCTTTCCATAGTTTGTTTCCATAGGGTTTCAACAAATCCTAGTTTATTTTTTAGCTCTCTAAAACCCTAGAAAAATAAGTATTGCCTACAAAGGTTCCCTATCTCAGAATTTACAACAACACTTGAAGGAGTAAAAGTGCATCATTGATCAGGGAATCAGGAGTGTGGAGTATCAAGACCTGTGAAGGTAACTCTAGGCATCTTTCAGTAAGTCTTCCTAGTAATTTTAATTAATTTTTTGTATTATTTTTTATTTTCTATGAATTTTTAAGAACATTTATTGTACAAAAACATTGTAGTGGAAGTTTCTTTAAAGCTCCTGGATAGTTTCTATTTCTTTTGGCAATAAAATAAAGATCCTAGGTTGGTTGTATCTAAGGTATTATTTTAATTTACAACAACATTTAGTGGTTCTTGTAAGTGGAATTCAGGTATATTGAATAAAAGAAAAAAATTTGAATTTAATATCTTGAGTTCCATCTAACCATTCCTTTCAATATTGACATCATCTTTGGCACTTCATTTTTTATTTATTATTTGTTTTGAATATTCATGGGTCAGTGTTCATGGGTATTGTTCATGAGTAGCTGTTTATAACGGCATTTTTAGAATATTTAATATTTTTTATTGGGATTTGTGGCCTTTAGAGGCCATGAGAGCATGCAAATTAAAAAATTTATAATATATTGTACAATTCAATGGGAGTTTGTGTTGGTCGACTGAGTTAGGGTTAGGCGGTTTATGGCCCTGGTCATGTCTAAAATCCTTACTTCTGGGCATATAGCACTATCGTTGAGAGTTAGTTTTTAGGGGGTCATCTCTTGTTGAGCTCGGAGAGATGCCTAAAGATGGTTTGTTGACCAAGAGAGTTTCGTGGTCCCCTGTGCGTGGATGTAAGCATGTGTGAGTGCGGGCTAAATCCTCAACAAACTTCTGCAAAGCATGTACACATAATAGCAGGGTTCCCCATAAACAACCCTACAAAGCGATACATTTACATGTGCATAGAGAGTCCCCCTTGCACTATATGTGCATGAGACTTGCTCTTTGGGGGGGTGCTATAATCCACATTCTGGTATCGTGGTTCTGCCATTTGTTAGCCAGCTTTGACAAGCCAATCATGAGCCCCTGCATGAGATTGAGGTTCATTGGTCTCATTGGGTTGGCTTGAGTAGATAGTGGTGGATCATAATTACTCGGTCAAGTGGAATGCTCTGAAAGTAAAATTATTTTGACTCATTGGTATCAATCCACTTCTAAAAAATTTGTTTTTTGGCTTAAGAAATGCGTTTGTGAATTTTAGAAATTTTTCAGAATTTTTAAAATTAATTAAAGCAATAAAAAACCTAAAAAAGGCATTTCAGCAATCTTTTTTTATTGGGATGTGGGACCCAAGTGGAGGGGCCAAGGGCCCAACTCTCGCACATGTTTTGGGTGAGGGAGCCACATGGAGGGGGACATGGGGCCCACTAGGGCCAAACGCTAGACATGGTGATCACACCCCCCTTATTTTAAAATTGGGCTATATTTCTTAATAGAGAAAAGAAGAAGACTTTTTTGTTAGAGGAAATCTCGAGAAAATCTTTAAGAAAGATTTTTGTGAGTATGTTTTGTGGGACTATAGGATATATCGTGTTTGGAAAATATTCTTTCAATCTTTGAATTTGACCAAATCTCTGATTAATTCCTACAATCTCTTTTAAGAGAAGAGGAAATTGTAGGCAAAATAGAAGATGAGTTTTGACTAGTCTTATCCTAGGTTTGACTAGAAGTGGATAGGGGTCAAAGAATCAGGTTGCAAGGTTCCTAGATTCCTAGATTCCTTCCTAAGTCATGATGGCCGATTTTTGGGATGGATACTCATGTGTTTCTGTCTCTTCTAACAAATTACCTAAGAGTGGGTAGAATTCTATTTGAGGTAGGCATTACCGTAGGGCCCCTTGAAAGCTATAAATAGAGGTTGGCTCCCCTCATTCTAACAACCAAACTTCTAAGCCTCTCTCTCTCCTCCCTCCTTCATACCTCTCTCTCGCCTCTCTCTCTCCTCCCTCCTTCATGCCTCTCTCTCACCTATCTCCTTCACACCTCTCTCCCTTTTCTCTCTTATATCTTTCTAGGCTCTCTCTAGAGGGGTTGGCACACACCAACCTAGAAGCCCTAAAGAGGGTGGTCTGCACCACCTAGGGCTCATAGAGGGAGGCACGAGCAGCCTTAGAAAGCAAAAAGGGTGGTGCCTTTTTTACATGCCCTAATAGTCTCAACCACTTATTTACAGCATTGTTGTAGCACCTATAAGTGGAATTCAGTTATATTAGTTAAAAAAAGTAAACTTTTATTTTATTCCCTAGAAGCCCGCAGCCACTTATTTTGGAAAAAGGCTCTGATGATGATGATTTTGGTTGAATTTTATACTTAAAGTTTGAGGGGACTAGAAGGAGATTTGATTTAATGTGCTTGGTAGGATGGGAGACCTAGGATCAACATGGCCCTTAAATTAATTAGGATTTTATTTATTAGATTAGTTTTGGAGTTGTTAGAGAGAGAATCCCCAATATGTGGTCATCTATTAATTAATTTGTAAGCCTCACGGATGGGTGTTGTGAGGGTAACGTAAGTTTAAGTGGGAGAAGTCCTGTATTTTTGGAGGCCCTACATCAATTAGACAGAGAGAGAGAGAGAGAGAGATTAATGTAGGAGAGAGCGAAATTAATGTGGAAAGAGAGAGAGAGAGAGAGAGAAAGAAGAGAGAGTGTGTACGTTTTTGGGTTTTTTTCTTTTTTTTTGTTATTTAAGGAGGGAGATTCCCTTTACGAAAAAAACTTGGTATTTTTTGTTAAAAATTTTTTTTTTTTTTTTTTTCTGAAAAAGAAAGAAAAGAGTATTTCTTCTCCTCCCTGGCTTGATTCACAGCCACCTATTTCCGCCATTGTTGTTGAGTTCTTGCTTATGTTATGATCAAAAGAAGGCCGGATTTAATTTCTTGGACTCCTTTCAAATCAGAAAGTGTTCGACAATTTTCTCCTGTTTTTTTTTGTTATACTTGACAACATTGCTAATCATAGTTGACCCACATTGATAGGAGCAATACAGATATATTCCATGCAATTATATTAGAAAACTAGAAATTGGAAATGTTAAGAAACGAATAATTCAGAATGATATATTTGCAGGTTATGGAGCAATTCTTTGGTTTGGTAAACACTTTCCTGCAAAACCATTGCGACACTCAGAAAAGGAGACTAAGCATACGAACATATAAGGTACTCCTGCTAATTTTCAAGTACAAATTGTTCTCCATAAGCCATGGATATTTTTCGTTCACAATCAGTACTTATGAACGATTAAAATACAGCACGAGTATGATGGAAATCAAAGAAGTGGCAGAAAGATCAAGATCTAGGAAGAGATAGAACGTTGGAGAGTGAGGGAGAGAGTGTCATGTGAGGAAGAGAAGAAAAATAGAGTCACAGTGGTGTCTCTGAGACACCCATACCCGAGTTATATATATTTTATTACGAATAAATTTAAGTTACAAAAATACCCCTCGAGTTAGGGAAATGACCAAAAAATCCTCAGGGACTTAAATGCAAGAGAAATAGATGAAAAACTTAGTTATTTACTACACTCCCCCTCAAGCTGGTGTATAGCCCAGCTTGCTTAAAATGATTTGTAGTCGAGATTTCCCCAAAATCTTAGTAAGAATGTCCCTTAAAAAGGTTCTTAGGAAATGAAAAACTTACCGAACAACCCAAAGAAATTTTGATTTCTGCTCGGTCCTTGAAAACCTTTGATTTGTTGGTGAATCTTTGTCCAAATACCTTCCAAATAATGCCCAAAAAATCAGTCAAAAGGATCTAATTTTTTCAAAATCTTCGAATTCAGAAAAAATCAAAAAGTTGGAAATTTTTGTTTTTTAATCGCTTGGAATGGTTCTAGTGTGGGTTTTTTTTTTTTCCTTTTTTGTTTTTTGGTGGTGGGGGGGGTTAGCATACCTCCAAAACTCTTCCCCCTCCCCCAGCCCCCCCACCCAGGCGAGAAAAAGATAATTTTGCCAGCGTTCATGGGCTTACGCATAGGACATATGTGGATGCATCTCTCACGCATATGCGCGAGCATTAAATTTTTCCACATGCGCTGCCACATTTTAAAACAATGGTGGGGCATGTGTATGGGGTCTGTTTGAGGCATTTAGAGTTCTTCCAATTTGCTTTATGTGAGAAATCTAGAAGTAAAGAAGTGTTTGCGAAGTTTAATACCTTACGTTTGTCCTTTTCTCCCAGAAAAGTCAAGGGTTTTGAGAGGAGACAGAGAGATTAGGGCAATGAAGGGAGATGAATAGGGAGAGGGATAGTAGAGAGATCTTACATTGCTCCTAATTGTAACCAGCCTTTTTCTAAGTAGGAGTGCTGAAAATTTCTATCTTTTGTTTTTGGGTGGTTACATCTGTTGGTAGATACATTGAGTTCAGGTATTTTATGTTTTTGTTATTTAGATTGTAATTATTTACTACGAATGCAGGTTGTTCCCTTTACTCCTAGTGCTGGCGTACTTGAATGGGTTGATGGCACGATCCCACTTGGTGATTATCTTTTGGGAAGGTAAGTAGACACAAAAAATTGCATGTCATATGTTCTTCTGAAATACGAGCATATCCTAATTACCTTCTGTGATCTTTAAGCACGAAGGATGGTGGAGCTCATGGACGCTATGGAAAAGGGGATTGGTCTTACCAAGAATGTCGGGAGTATATGACAAAAGTAAGCTTTATATGGTTTACATTTACCTAAAATATCATGAATGGATCACCAAAATTCACTCCTAAGTTGTAATTTCTGGTGAGTGAAATTAGCCATCATGACTATCACGAGAAGTTCTGGTATATGTTGCATGCTTCACCCCAATCTGTTTGTAAAATCAATACTGGGTCACAAAACACCTCTATGGATGAAGTGTGATATGGGCATTAGATTGATGAAATGCTTTCCCTGCTTGTGGTTTGACAAATTATTTAAGATAATCATTGTCATGCATGGCCTACCTGCTAAGGAGGATCCCCACCCCATTCCTTATTCCGGGCTATGTACCTTGCTGTTTGAAGCATGTTTATTAATTCAGTTGTGCATGAAGACATGTAGTAGTACTTCTGATGACTTTTGTTTGTGTAACCATTGTTATTTTCAAGTCCCATCATGGTCGACAGTGTCCTTTTTTAAAAAGTACCCTCTTTTGCAGTAGGTATCTGATGAATATGTCTGTGTATATTATGTTTAATATGGCCGTATTTATTATAATGTTGATTGACCCCTGAAGTGACACCTAGTGGGCAGTTGAACCTGCCAATATTTTGAAGATTTACTAATTAATATTAGCAATTCCAACCCCTAACAATCCCCCCCCCCCCCCCGGAAAAAGAAAAAAGGGGAAAAAAAAAAAAAAAAAGGAAAGAAGAAGAAGAATACTACAAAAAGTAAAGATCTCTGCACCAAGTGTGTGCTGTCAAAACAGACTAATCATACTACCAAATTAGAAGCACTGATATGAATTTGGTGGCTTATCAACAAAAAATGACATCGCTTTCATATGCTGGAAGATACATTTCATTCTTATGTACTTCGACAAATAATATTCACATGCTGGGAAGTTTTCCTTTCATGGATCTTTATCAAAATTTCCAAGAACTAGAATGATGTCAACCCTTCAGAAAGAAATAGCTACAAAGCCCGGTTATGCACAGTTGACATTATTACTTTTACAATAAGAATTACTGCAACTTACACATTTCTTTCTGATACAGATATAATGATTTTGAATCTCCTAAGGAAAGACAATGGTTATGTACTTATGATGTAATATTAGGGAGTCTGTGACAACAAATTTCTTGAAATAGATTTCATTTGCATCATGCAACTTGACTTCTTGGTTTTTGATGGCTTGTGAGTTTTCTTATTTAGGGAAAGGAAAAGCTCAAGGCATTTCACGAAGTTTGTGAGAACTACAGGTTTTACCTTTTCTCTCTGCTTAAGTGCTTGTTGAGTTGAGAGAGAGATCTGGTACACCATTCCTAGATTTATGTTTGCATATCATGATTTAAACAGGCCTGTGATGCACTATTTCTTCGTGGAGAGATTCTTGCAACCTGCCGATTGGTTTGAGAAAAGACTCTCTTACACACGAAGTGTTGCAGCTAGTTCAATGGTATGTATACACGTGTATCAAAAACTTCCAGGATGAAAGTACACAGGGGTGTTTTTAGCTCATTTAGTGCATCTCAAAGCACAATTACTTTGGAACTTTATTGAAGAATCAGTGACATGATTTAGCCTTGAAATGTGATTCTCATGTCAGAGCTGTTTTGGCATGTCACAAGCATATTGATTTGCTTTCAACTTTTGGCAGATTTTTTTCAAGAGTTAACCACTCTTGGTTGTTCAAAATCGTTTTGAATACCCATTGTTGGAGAACTCATGGGCATGTAAATGTAAATTGCCATGGTATCCTTGACACTCTTTTAATGTAAAAATGCTCCTGTTCTTGGGAAAAACTTAAAACAACCCAGTTTTCTGAATTACCAAAATGTCCATTTCTATGAAACAGCTATGATATTTTGGGATTCGCATATCATTCATCTAAAATGGGTAGTTGGCTTGGGCCCATATCATATGATTACACTATTATTTCTGCCTTGTGAATCTCTTGCTTAATTAGAATTGATGAAGCATATCATTATTTATTTAATAATAGGTTTCATTTATGGGCTAAATTGTTATTGATCCTGCAAAATGAGTTATTTTAGGATATTATCCAGACTTTTTAGCATGAGAAATCTCACATGATTGCAGAAACAAATATAAAATGCTTGTGTTGAGTAAAAACATCTACCATTTTCCTGCACTATTCATGGTGTCTTAAGTAGAATTTAACTACTGAAATTGTTCAAAATTCATTTTTTGTTATTTTCCTCATTGTGTGCCTCTGATATGCAGCATGGAAGCAACATGCCAGAAACTAAATAAACGTAAAAGGTTCCTTTAGATGATAATTAGCTCTGATATGCATCAATTACATGCAGGTGGGTTACATAGTTGGACTCGGAGATCGTCACTCGATGAACATTCTCATCGATCAAGCCACTGCAGAAGTTGTACATATTGATCTTGGCGTTGCCTTTGAACAAGGATTGATGCTTAAAACACCTGAAAGGGTTTGTCCTTGAACCTTTAGTATCATGATTTCGATTCAAATTTGCATTTGTTATCCAAAATTTATGTCTAGAAGGCCAAGCTTGGGGCTTTTTATTGCTGTTTTTTGGTTTCTCTTTTTTAACTGTTCTAAAATCTCTCCCTTGATATCGTCAGTCCTCCAGTCAAAGAGATTATGTGTATGTTACAAAGTCTTGGGCTCGTGCATGTGTCCTATCCAAATAAGAGCATTAGAAATGCCAACTCTAAAATTGGCTTTTCAGACACAACACATCCATAATGTCATCTAGAGAAAGGAGGATGTAGGATCTTAAATGTCATTACGTACTTTCGTAGTGACATTTCTACAAGAAAGATTTCGAAACTGTTAGGTACGAATGTGTGCTCTTCGACTGTCAACTGGTGCCAACAGCTAAGGACATGTGTGTCCACATCACATGGATTCTCGTATCTCACCCACCTAATGGTGTTGAGTTAATCATCTTCCATGACTACTGGACTAGATACCCCAAGGCATGTAAGCAAAACACAAGTCTCAGCCTATGTCAAGTCAAATGCCCTACAAGACCGTGATAAGCCTACTTCTTGTTCCTCTGATCCATATTTTACCTCCTACCCCATCAGAACCCAAATTGCCACATGAACTTCCACTGACGTGCACCTTCCAAGCCCCAACTGGCACTGTCCACAGATCATGGGTTCTGGTCAGTGTCATTAGATTTACTTGGCTGCCCAAATCTTGAACTTTGGCCTCCAAACTGACGCGAAGGCATAACCTGTCCAAGATATTTGAAATATTGGTGATATTTTGAAATTATAGGAAAATGAAAATATCAGGAAAGTATCACTAACAATTGGCAAATATCAGGAACATCTTAGAAAAACTTGAAGTTTCTTATAAATATATTAGGTCATAGTATATAGTATATGAACTTTACTTTTTGTATATTAAAATGATAACAGAAGCCTTCCCCAAATCAGCCAAAGCACCGAAGCGACTCTCTTCCACGGCCAAAACCATGAGGTGTCAAGAGCGAATTTAAAAACTTTTGGGGACTGACCTCTATCAATGTTGCATAGACACACACTACTATTTCCATGGTGTCGTGTGCAACATGAAGCTTTGTTGTTTTAAAACTATAAGAGGATACTGTGCAGCAATGATTTTCAATGTTTCCCTACATGTTGAGGACTAGTAGAATATTATCTGGAAATCTTTATACTAGAGGTTGTCTAACATTTCTAGACTTTTTGTCTATAATTTTAAAATCGGTGCTCCTCTATGATCTTTTTGGAATCACTTACAGGTGCCATTTAGGCTGACAAGAGACATTATAGATGGCATGGGGGTCACTGGAATAGAAGGTGTCTTCAGAAGATGTTGTGAGGAGACCCTCCTTGTTATGAGGACAAATAAGGAAGCACTGCTTACCATCATTGAAGTACGGAAATTGGAAATGAGCCCATGTATTATCTTTGAGATGACCCAATTTGTATTTTATATTTCTTAACAATTTGAAATAATTTTGCAGGTTTTCATTCATGATCCTCTGTACAAATGGGCTCTTTCTCCTCTCAAAGCATTGCAACGACAAAAGGTAATCTTTTTATCCAGCAACTTCTGGTTTTTTTTAAATCATCCACTTAAAAGAGTACATTTGTGACTGTTCATTGATCAAGATCAGCCATTAAAAGAACTATTGTCTAGGTACAGACAATGCGGCATGCTAACATGGATAGATTGCTAACATTATTGCAATAATATGAAGGGGGTCATGAAATAAGTAAGTTGCAGGTTCTACAATAATTATTAAGCTCTAGATAAAACATATTTTCAGCCATCTATAGCAACCATCTTTGAATGTTAATATCCAAAAATATAGCTTCATAAAATCCTTACAATTTCTTCTAGTGTCATCATAGATAATCCTTTATCATATGTTTCTCTTCTCCACTGCATTCTTCTCTTGGGATAAAATCAATCGTCCTCAAACTCATGACTTTAATTCACAGAGGTCTATGGGATATTATATATCCAACCTTTACAGTGATCTTAAAGTCCTTTTTATTCAACTTATCAAAATGATCAAACAAGATAAGTTTCAAACCTGTCTCTTGTTTATAGTGACAAAGACCATTATCTTAATCCAGACATGTAGGTGATTTCATCTTTTTTCTTGACATATTGGCCAGTGACTTAGAAGTCGCGGTCCAGAACGAGAATCGCCCAATCCAAATCAGGAATCGGCTGGGCCGAACCAGTTCAAGAAGGAATTGGTAACAGCCCAATCCCCCTCTAAAACTCCCCCTTTGTATTTTTTTTTTTTTCTCTTTTTGAATTTTCTAATGTTCTCTTAGGCATCTTAGTAAATCACAACTCATCAACCCCTCTTTTATTTTTTTAAATTTTTTTAATATTTTTCGGATCACTGAATTGGACCAATCAAGACCAACAATCAGGCGATAGACACAATATTGGGGGGTGGACGATCCAACCCACCATTTTGTCTTTGCAAAAACTAGTATTGTTGATATTTTGTGTTTCTACTAGTGTTAAATGCCTGAACTTTTTTTTTGGATAAAAGATGACTCCAAATTGGGTTGAGATGTAAACATGTTGAGGTGTTAAATGTTGCCATTAGTAACGAGGAGTGACATTTGCACCAATTATGATGAATGTAGAGATCAAGTGGGGGACCTTCCAACAAAGATGTGGGCACAATCAATTACACATTTCTTATTGGGAATATTCAATCTATGTCAACGTGAAACAAGATTTTGACATTCACATTGACATAGGAATTTCAATTCTTTATAATAATCCACATTGAAAGTCCTATTTTATTGGGTAAATCATTTAAAAAAAAAAAATTAGTTTCTTATATTATATCATTTTTATTTAAAAAGTTAATTTCTTATATTATCTCCTACATTTTCTCTTCACTCCCTCACACTCATCAAACTTACATCTCTATCTTTACTAGGTTTATTGATTTCTATACATCTTAATCTTTTCATCTCTCATTTCTCCTTATTTCCCTATCCGATCTGTGTTTGTGCTAATGTGAATCCATCAAAATAGAAAACAAAAGGACAAATATAGAATAAGACTCTTTGATACATGGAGGTCTTGATTATCAGTGACAGTTAGATTTAGAATTGGACCGTTGTGGATGTGTCATTGATCAAACTCAAATTTCAAAAGAAAATCTCTCGATCTTGGCAATGCATCTTAAGCTTTAGGATTTGATATATGAGGGTTTAGAGTGCTTGTGATCTTGTACTAAAAGAAATTGGTCTTATAGTATACAACCCGTGAAACAAAATTTCAAAAAAATATCACTTTCACTAAGTTAACACTTTCTCTCCCTAAATAAATTTCATTTTTAAATATAAGCTTTCTCTCTTGTTTCTTAATTTCTCACGCTCTTCATGTGCTTGCTGTGCATCAGAGATGTACCTACTTGTTCTATAATTCTTGTCCTGTTTGTATTTTTGTGACTTTTGAGTCAATTTTTTTCCATATTGAGGATGCGTCTTGAACTAGTAAATACACTTGCTGGTGATCACACTTTTACTTGATCTAGTGCTTGTTTTTAAGTTTCTACTCTATTGCAAACTTACAGTTTCTACTTTTTTGCAGGAAACAGATGATGATGTGGATGCAGTGATGGAGGACTCTGAGGATGAAATTGAAGGGAACAAAGATGCTACCCGTGCATTGTTGCGAGTGAAGCAAAAGTTGGATGGGTACGAAGATGGTGAAATGAAAAGTGTACAAGGGCAGGCAAGTTTCATTAAATTTCAAAAAAAAAAAGTTCCTCTAAAGTTCATAATAAAGAGTACATGTGCACATGCACATATTTGCATAATATATTCATCACATAAAGAGCATCACATAAAGAGTGCACTTTCGATATCTTGGGTCGATAATCCAGGAAAATAGAGAGATTGAGGAAGATGTCGTGCATAGAATTAGAGTTGGGTGGGCAAAGATGTGCAACTGGAGTTTTATATGATTGCTACTAACTAATGAAGCTGAAGGGGAAGTTCTATAGGACATCTGTGAGACCAGTTTTGCTTTATGCAGTGGAATGTTGAGCGACCAAGAAACAATACATTCATAGGATGAGCGACCAAGAAACAAACAATGGTAACGTACGACTTATTATTAATTCATATGTAAAATGCAAGATGTTCAAGCAATGACACAATATTATAGAAAAGAAGTAACCTACAGAGAGGGAGTATGGACTCCTCCTTTAGCACGAACATTGGATCTTCATTTGTCTCTCTATAACAATGTTGGACCGTTGCCATAGAGGTTGACAAAATATCCCAAATTTGATGAAAAATAGTTCTTAATCTCCAAGGGATTTTGGCCTTTCTCTTACTCCAGGCAATGACATTTGCCGAGTCTCCTTCACTAATCATGTCCCCTTCCAAAGTGCATAGCAATTTCAAACCTTCTAATAAAATAATGTGACCCAAGTTATTTCTGATGTGTCCACCATAGCCGGCTGGCCCTAGAGTGCCAAGTGAACTTCCATCAAAATTAAGTTTGAAGGAGTTCACTAGTGGTGGTATCCAAACAACCTCACTACGAGTGTTGATGGTAACATCCATAGTCCCCACTGCCGAAGGAGTGCTAATGATTAGGCTTTTAGGAATGAAGCTACTATCCCTATGTGCAAGGAACCAATCAGCTGCAACTGCCAAAATATTCGATTTTAATGTAGACAGATCTGCATTTATACTATCAAAGACTCTTCTATTTTTTTCCTTCCACACATTCCAAAGAAAGCTAATCCAAATAGATCTTCAAAGGATAGTTCCCATCTTTGAAATATTGAGTGTGATCATTGGTCAAGAAGAGCTCTGACATTTTAGGGCAAAGGTAATGACAGATTGAGGCACTGGCAAGCCCAATCCCAAAGATAAGTAACGAAAGGGCATAAGACGAAAAGGTGCTGCGAAGTTTCGTCGCTGGCTTTGCACAGGATACATACATTGGTGATAATAAATCCCTTCTTTCTCAAGTTGTCAATAGTTGCTAATTTATCTTGACCCAGGATCCATTAGAATAACTGCACTTTAAGAGCCACATACAATTTCTTAATCTTGAATAAACCAGCATCTAATTCTCTCCAACTGTAATAACCATGTGAATCACCTAACGCAGTCTATTAGCTAAAATTTTTGCAATGATTTTATAAAGACTGCTAATAAGACTAATAGGCCGAATATCTTTGATATCCTCAATGACATGTTTCTTTGAGATTAAAGCAATAAAAGTAGAATTCATGGCAATATTAATTTTACCCCTCCAATAAAATTCTTCCAATAATTGAAGAATATCATCTTTCAAAATATCCCAAAAAGATTGAAAAAACGCCATTGGGTGTCCATCTGGGCCAGGAGCCTTATCTCTACCTAGGCTAAAGACTGCATCTCTAATTTCTTGCTCTTTAAATTTTTTTTCCAACCGCTGAGCTTGTTCTACCGACAACCTATTGAAAGGTAGATCTTGAATGGATAGTTGAATCTCACTATCGGCCCCATAAGACTTCTTGAAATGATCAACCAGGGCCCTTTCAATCTTTAACATGTTGTCACAGTCTACTCCTTCAATACGGAGGCTTTGAATTGAGTTACCCCTTTTTCTTGCATTAGCGATAGCATAGAAGAATCTTGTGTTTTATCACCCTCCTTGAGTCATTTCACACGAGATCTTTGTCTCCAATGAATTTCATCCAAATTAAACAATTGTTTATACGTAGCCACCCGTAAGCTTCTGTCTCTGAATTAATCCTGTGTTAGAGCACATCTCATAAACTGAACATTATCTAACTCCTCTACATGAAACTTTGCTGCCCTGATTTTAGATTGTAAATTTCCCCCAACATTCCTCTTCCATGTAATAATCTTTTGTTTTAATAGCTGGAGCTTCTTTGAAATTTGGAAACCTTTCCAACCATCAATGGTAGTATGTTACCAGAAATCTTCAATCAAACTGAGTAGAGATCTCTCTGATAGCCATGCCAATTCAAATCTAAATGGGGATGGTCCAGACAAGAAACCATCAGTGTTAGGTAGAAGAGGGACATAAAGAAGTTAAGATGGATGAGTGGCAAGACAAGGGATAAAAGTCGAAATAAATACATTCGGGAGAACTTAGGTGTGGCTCCAATAGACGATAAGATGAGAGAAAGTAGACTTTGGTATCATGTGCAGCGCAGGCCCAGTATGACACCGGGTTAGGAGGTGTGAGTTGGTTCAAGTGGAAGGCTCAAAAAGGGTACGGGGTAGCTAGGCAAAAGTAGTGAAAAAAATAATAGGAACTTATGGCCTTATTGAGGGTATGATGGAGCATAATGGTGCCTTGATAGAGCAGAATGATGGACCAAGATTCATATGATTTTTCCAAATAGTCGGGAAAAGGCTCTAATGATGATGATGATGATATTCATCACATAAATGACGATATAGTTCATCCAAAGAAAATGAAGATAGTAGTTATATTCTGTGGTTGAATTGGGTTTGGACCTACTTTTGGGGGATTTGGGACATGCGTTCATTGTTCTTTCATTGATTAAATTGATTCTCAAATGCTTATGTTCTTTAATTTATTGTTAGTTGTTTTGTTTGTCTATTAATTGCTCTCTATGCTGGTTTTTTACGGCAGGTTCAGCGACTCATCCAAAATGCAATTGACACAGAGAACTTGTGTAATCTGTTCCCAGGATGGGGAGCTTGGTTGTGATTATAGTGACACATTAAGCAGACAGCCACGCCGTGTAAAAGGCGTTCTTTTCCCTTGAATCATTGTTTTCTTTTCCATTTTGTTACAGTATGTGTATTAGGAAGCCGCCATGCCATGCGATGTGAAATTTACCGTTTCTTTCCTTGTAAATGTGTATAGCTATCAAAGGTCCCCTTTTTTGTTGTGGGAAAAGTTTTGATGTGAATTTGTTGTTAATAATAATGGATATTAGCTTTCGATCTGTAGATTTTAGCATGTGCCTTTTGGATTAGTCATTGGTGTAAACTCAGAACTGCAAAAGTGTTGCCTTATCTAAATGCTAGCAATGTTGAATGAGTTTCGTTGGAAATGATTATGAGCTTTGATTCTTCATCTTCGCAGTCTCCTTAACTTATACGGCAGATCCACTCTAGGGACAGCCCAATATTACTTCATATTTCTGCCCAGCTCTCTCTCTCACATACTGTATAAGCAAGTTGCACTTTTAAATTTTGTTGAAAGATGTTCAGGTGTTGAAAACCTTGTATTGGTTTAAAATTTTATATTCAACTTTAATTTTGAATTTTGAAATTTAAACAATAGTGCAAAATGAGCATATTTATCAAAAAAAATTAAAAAATTTGAAAATAAATGGATAATTCATAACAAGATGTACTATTTTCATGACTTGAAATTTTTTGTATACATATTGATGCCAAGATAAGCTATTGAAAATTTTTTAGTATTGGATCACCATTTTTTGATAAATTTTTGAGGTACGCTTTACTTCAACAGTTTAATTTAACTGTTTGGTGCGTCTCTCTTTATGCGGCCTCTCTCTCTCTATGTTTGCAATCTTAGAATGGAAAATGATTGAAGTCCCTCTCTCCCCTCCCCCTCCCCACCTGGCATGGATTGTGTAATGATGTGACACGTGCATCTAACCAAAATTTGATATACTATTTTTTCTCTAAAAATTTTATGCTAGTTTCTCTCTGTAAAATTTAAGATGTGATATATAGGTCCTCTCTAAAAGTCAAAAGTTTTAAGATATTTTCTGTGCGGTCTCAACTTCATTGAGCCGTGGTGGAGAGTGGAGTGCGTTTAATATCGAAAATGAGAAGCCCAAGAGAACCATTGCATGTTAGGCTAATTAATTTTTTAGAGAGATTAAAACACACTTAAAATATCCAACTATATAACATAACACCAATTTATCGAAACACACCTAAAATATCAACTTATTTGACTCATGATTACATGCCTTTTAATAAGATTTTTGAAATTAAACAAAATAAATAAGTGAGGTGAGATATTAAATAAATAGGTAACTTTTTTTTGATAAAAATGTAGGGCACGGCCTATGTTAGCATTGTTATGGTTGTCTTCCTATTAAAGGGCAATGATCTCATGCAACGGTTGTATAGTTGTATAACGTAATTATATTAAAAAATCATATTAGAAGCATTTGTTTGACATGACTCGTTAAATGTACACTCTTTTCAATTTAAAGAACAATCACAAAAAAAAAAAAAAAATTGAAAAAATGTCGTGGCAATAGTTTTTTCGGCCTAATTAATATAAGCCGTTCATTTTAGTGAGATGGTTAGATATAGTTCTCAAAAGGATTTTTTTATTCCTAAAAGTTTTACATAGCGTTATCACCATTAGATTAACAATGCTAAAAAAAAGAAAAAGTGATTTTGAATTTGTCAAGGCCTAGATCTTGAAATTCACTAAATGGACGGTCGAGATTCATTGTTGAAAGGTACTAATTTTGACTATATCTAAAGTGCAAATTGAATTCTTTTATTATTTTTTTTCGTAGGATTGATTATGAGGATGAAGAGAATGTATGTGCAAAATTTAAGATCATACAAATGTCAAAAACATGATTTTCTAGAAGTGTGGTTGCATTATAGTATGATACAACTATTACATGAAATCATTAAAATTATATACATAAGACAATTTTTTTTTTTGTACAAATAGGTCACCATCATACGTAGCTGTCGGATATAAAACGTGACAGCTCAAAGTGCTTATTAAATCACTATTCACTTTCTCCAATGCCTTCTTTCTTCTCACTAATCCCATGTGAGTTCTCTTTCTTTTCTTTAGGCTTTCCCATACAACTAAGGACATTGATCAAGCATTATTTGCTTGAGCTTGTATTGCTCTATCCACCATTCATTGATTCATCCAAGTGCAAAAGAAACATCTCTCACGCAAATTTGCAAGAGTGGTGTTTGTATTGCACAAATTGATGACTGGTTGGCATGATTAATCATATTCTCGAAGCACTATATTGGTAATCTATGCTTCCGTTTTCGGACTAGGGGTGGCAGGGTAGCCAGCCCAAAGGGTCTCGAACGGGTTATGCCATGATCTTCCCACTTGGGCCTAGCCTCAAGCCACATACATTGGCCCAAGGCCAGGCTCTGACGGGATGAGTCACCCAGCTCATTGCCACTCTTAAAAG